GCGGTGGTGTTTCTTCGGGAGTAGTTGTGGCGGCTCGTGACGGACTCGGGTGCTATGAAGCTTCTGAAGTGGTTCTTGCTGAAGGGCGAGCAGTCGCTGCTCTGATTCACGTTCCTGGTTGTGCTCCGTTCGCCATCGTGTCGGTCTACCTGGTCCACTCTCAAGGACTGTCGGAAGCCAACGTGGAAATCCTTCGGGCTGTCGGCATCTTTCTTGCATCCCAGGGTTGTGATTTTGTCGTCGCTGGTGATTTCAATTTCTCTCCTGGGGTCCTGTTTGAAACCAACTTTGCGGAGCTTCTGAAAGGTGTCATTGTGCCTGCTGATGGGCGCACCCACTTCCCCTCTGGAGGGGGGTTCCTGACACCTTTGAGTTTTTCGTTCTCTCGGAAGCCTTGGGGCGGTGCTTGCAGGAAGTCAGAGTGGTCACTGAGTCGGATCTTTCCCCGCATAAACCTGTGGCCATTAAATTTCACCCGTCCCTTGGCTCCCTGAAAGCCCCCGCGTTCCGCCGCCCCCCCGACTTGCCTCCGTCGGCGCCTGTGGGGCCTCGGCCGTGTCCTGGGGATTGGTCCGAGGCTACCGCCAAGGCCGAAGCCGCGCACAGGGCTGCTCTGTCGGGGGGTCTGCAAAAAGCCAGGGACCTTCTTACGCCTGGGTATCGTTTGTGGGCCAATGCGGCCGAGTCAGACTTGGCCAAAGTCTTGGGGGTTGAGCTTCCCGCCCTCGGCATGAGAGGTATACGCCCCAAGCTTGTGTGGAAATCGGTCATCAAACCTGCTGGCAAAGTCAAGAACCCCAGCCTTAGGTCCATCACGTGGCTGGCTGCTCAACTTCGAGCGCTCAGGAGCTACCTTGTGAGTGATGGTGCGGTGCTTCCACCTGCTGGTCGAGGCGTTGCTCTCGACATCGTTTCAGTGCCCGTCGAGGTCGCTGTGCAGGCCGGCTCCGACTGGCACCAGGTCTTTCAGGCTAGTGCTGGCTTAGCTGCCCGCTGCCTGGATCTCTCTCGTCCCCACGTTTCTTCCCAGCGCGGCTTCGATTCTCGGTCTGGGCAACCTCCTACCCAGGTGGCTCAGGGGGATCGCTCTCGTGCGCGTTGCCAGGTCAGTCGGGCGACGATGTTGGTCTCTGCGACCCTGAAGGCGGAGAGCCTAGTGATGCTGCTGGCTCCCTGCGCGCGGATCTTGAAGTCCTGCTCGACTCGGTCGATCAGGCATGTTTGAAGGCTAAGGTCGCGGCTGCTGCTAGGTCTAAGGCATCTTGGCAGGAATGGGTTCGAGAAGGATTGGATAAGGGCAGTCGTAACGCTCGGCGTGCCATTCGAGACCCCGAGCCTTGGACCCCCACGACCACGCTCACGGCTGGGAGCATCATTGTTGCTGGCCCCATGGCCCTCTTGAAGGCCGAGGCTGATAAGTTTGCGTCTATTTGGGGGGAAGGAGACGGGAAGGGCATTGATGACTCGTTTCTCGGACCCCTGCCTGTCCTCCAGCCTTCTGGGCTGCGTGCCTTTTCTAAGAGGTATCGGCTTTCCAGCGCTGTGAGTGTTGATGGTTCTCATTGCCGTCATTTCTCGCTGCTCTGTGATCAGGCCCTTCACTGCCTCGCCCTCTGGTTTTGTGTCATGGAGGCCACGGGCTCCCTGCCGCTCCAGATTTCCTGGGTCCTCATGGCCCTCTTGGGCAAGCCCACTGGGGGCTTTCGGCCCATCGGGGTGTTCCCCAGTTGGTACCGCCTCTGGGGGCGGGCCCGTCGGTCGTTTGCGCAGCGCTGGGAAGTCAACAGTCCTCGGGACTTCTGGGCGGCGGGGGCCAACAGGGGCGCCTCTGACGTGGTGTGGCGGCAAGCCTTTAAGGCCGAGGCAGGACTCAGCCGTGGTGAAGTGTCGGCCTCCATTTTCTGGGATCTTCGGAAGTATTCTGAGCACATTGACCTTCGTTTGCTCTATGCCAGATGCCAACAACACGGGTTTCCTCTCGGTATTGCTAGGCTGTCCATTCGTGCGTATGCTACCGCCAGGTACCTGGCCCTTGGGGGCCATGTCGAAGGGCCTTATTTCGTCATCAGGGGCATCGTGGCGGGCTGCTCGTTCGCCACTAGTTTGATCAGGGTTTTCGCGCTGGCCAGCTTCGACTCGCTCCCTCGGTCGCCAGGATTGGACTTCGACGCGTATGTTGATGACCTTGGTCTCAGCTGCACGGGCAGCGCCAGGCAGGTCGTTCGAGCGCTGGTGGGCGGAGCCCGAGCGCTCCACAAGTGCATCACTGATGAGCTGCAGTGCCTTCTCGCCATGGGCAAAGTGGGGACGGTTGCTAGCAACAATGATGTCGCCTCTCAGCTCCTCCAGAAACTTGGGCCCCTGGCTGGGCAAGGAGTGGGTATAGGAAGAGTTACGAACTTGGGGGTGGATTACACGGCGGGTCGATCCCTGAGGGCTCCTGGCCGTGGCCGTGCGGCCAAGTTTAAAGCTCGTATTGCGACTGCACTTCGCAAGACCAGGAGGCTCAAAAAGATTGGGGGCGTCCTCGGGAGGCGCAGCTTGAAGGTTTTCGCTGCTGGGCCTCTGGCTGGTGGGACCTACGGGTCTGACATCTTCGGGGTGTCCGATGCCGAGCTCCTGACCCTGCGTCGTGCCGCTATGTCTTGTATTAAGCCACGCTCGCAAGGGCGCTCCCTTGCCGTGCTCAGCCTGCTTGAGGGAGACCCGTGCTGGCGAGCGAGTGTGGCGCCGATTATCAGATGGTCGAAAGAAATCTGGCTTTGTCACACTCGTGCGTTCCCGTGGTGTCTGTCTTGGGCGGCTATGCGCGAGGGCTGGATGCAGACCTTCAGCCACGACGTTCACTCGTGGTCTAATGTTCGTGGGCCGCTCTCGGCTCTCCGCATGTGCATCTACCGTCTGGGGTGGGATATGCCCGATTTTACCACCCTCAGGGGCGACTTTGGAAGGGACATTTCGCTGGCGCTCCCCCCCCCCCCCCCCCCTTAGTCAAGGTCTTGTGTCGTGGCGCGGTGTTCAGAAACCTGGAGCGGGATTCTGGAGACAAGTACGGGGTGGGGTACAGGCTCTGTTGGGATGTGGTCAAGCAGCAGCTCTCGTCGTCCAAGATCCCCGCCAAGGCCAAGGGGGTCATGAGAGCTCAAGCTTGTCGTGCGTTCTGGACAGGAGCCGATGCTGAGGCGGCTGGTTATGTCGAGGTGTCCAGTTTCTGCCCGTTATGTGGTGTCGCGAAGGACACCCTGCACCATCGGTTTTTTTTTGCTGCTCGGCGTGCGACGAGCTGCGCAAGGAAGCGCTACCCGATTGGCTAGTGGAAGCTGCTTGTGATACGTCGGACCCTGATTATGAGGAATAGCTATTTCTGTATGGGGCGTTCCGTCACCCAGGAGATGTTGCCCCAAGACCTCTGCGTGATGGTGGTGTCTCTCTTGTGTGGCATGTCGAGGACCTCCCTCCTCCTCCTCCTGCGTGTGGTGCTGACGGGGTGGCTCCAGGGGATAGCTTGTGGGGGTATTTGTTTATGGGCGGCTCTTGCCACAGGCATGTGGTGAAAGAGCTGTCACGTGCGGGCTGGGCTGTGACCATGGTGGGGAAATATGGCGAGCTCCTAGGTGTCCTGAAGTGGCCTGTGTGGGCCCCCTGGCCTCAGACTCCCTAGGCTGCCGAGTATGCTGCGTTTGCGTTCTGTGGTGCCTATGCCGATGCTCCGTCCGTGTGCTACAGCGACTGTCAGAATGTTGTGGACCGCGTGGCGCTCGGTGCTGACGCGCTCTGCGGCAAGAGGCAGTACGCAGGTCTTGTGCTGCAAGGCAAGCACCATTTTGGTAGGAACCTGCGTGCCCTCCACAAAGTTTCGGCCCACAGAGTTGTCGGTGAAGGCGGCATTTCGGCCAGTGAACGTTTCAGAAGACTCGGCAATCACTTTGCTGACCAGGCTGCCAAAGAGGCGGCAAGGTTGCACCCCTCCTTGACTCCTGTTGAGGCTGATGAGCTCGATAGGAAGATCAAGATAGCGCGGCTGGTCTTAAAAGCTGGGTCTGTTCTGCTTCCATTGTGGCCGCGTCTTGAGTTTCGAGGCACCGCCAGGTCCAGGCCCCCTCCCGCTCCTCGTCACCCTTCTCTGGATGTTGGGCACTCGTGGGCGCAGGTTGGGTCCTTCTGGCAGTGCCGAGTTTGCCTTAAGGGCTCTCGGGCGCGGGCCCCTCCTCCTGGGGACTGTCCAGGACACTCCAGGTTGGACCAAGGCGTGCTGCTGAGGCTGGGGCATAAGGTCGTTGCCTTCCCCTGCTCAGATCGTTCGAATTTGTTTGTTTGCTTGTCGTGCAAGTTTTACAGTAGCGGCTCGCAAATTCTTAAGCTCGGCAAAGAGTGTGGCCAGCCCACAGTCACGTCAATGCGCAACTTGCGCAAGCTCAAGAAGGGCTTGCATCCTGACAAGGCTCAGGTGACGGTTGACATTGATGATTTTGTCGCGTTGCTTTAGGAGCTTGGCTCCTCGGTGCCTGTTAGAGCCTCGGACTGGTGCGTCGGTAACTGCAGGAGGCATGGGCGTTGCTGCCAAAAAAAGAGGAGGAGGAGGAGGAGGAGGAGGAGGAGGAGGAGGAGGAGGAGGAGGGAGGAGGAGGAGGAGGAGGAGGAGGAGGGAGGAGGAGGAGGAGGAGGAGGAGGAGGAGGAGGAGGAGGAGGGAGGAGGAGGAGGAGGAGGAGGAGGAGGAGGAGGAGGAGGAGAGGAGGAGGAGGAGGAGGAGGAGGAGGAGGAGAGGAGGAGGAGGAGGAGGAGGAGGAGGAGGGAGGAGGAGGAGGAGGAGGAGGAGGAGGAGGAGGAGGAGGAGGGGGGAGGAGGAGGAGGAGGAGGAGGAGGAGGAGGAGAGGAGGAGGGGGGAAGGAGGAGGAGGAGGAGGAGGAGGAGGAGGAGGAGGAGGAGGAGGAGGAGGAGGAGGAGGAGGAGAGGAGGAGGAGGAGGAGGAGGAGTGAGGAGGAGGAGGAGGAGGAGGAGG